CTTGGATAAGAAAGCAGATGTTTTCAAATTCAACTCCTCAAAACTGCGGGTTAATAAGCTGGTGAGTACCGAACAGCGTCATTTCTTCATTAGGTTAATTGACGCTGAGTTCTATAATATGAAAGCCTGGAGGGGATTTTTGCAGGATGAAGATTAAAGCTAAACCTGGACTGAATTTCAAAGTTAGAGCTAATTTGCCGTTGAAAATTGCTTTCAGTCCAGAACTTCAATCTCTGGCTAATCTGTATCTAGGAAAGTTGCCCAGAATGGACAGCCTAAAGCCAAGTGGAATTTGGCAAAAGAAGAGTTAACTTGTGTCAATAGCCAGTAGTGGCATTGTGATTTGCATATTAATGTCTCTTTTTTTTTTTTATTATTATACGGGGATTTCAAAACAATACATTGTATGAGTTCGGTTAGAATTTATGCTATGAAAACTTTTGTGAAATCAGAAGTACTGACGTATATCGGAATGATTTCTGCTGTTCTACTAAAAACTCTGTGATGTTCCAGAAAGAGGATACCACAGAAGAACAAAAATGCCCTGAAACCACTGACACTTTGTGTATATTTCAAAATATTTGTTTTCTCTGAAAATTACTTGTGTTCATTAATTTTTCAGGCACTACATTCTTGTTTTGATGAAAAATAAAAGCAAAATGAACACTGGCATTTCTTTTGCAGTGTCAAAAATGGTTCATATTGTGGTGCAGCAACCACAATACATAAGGCATTATGAAATGTGTTGCACTCCTAGTAGTCAGTTGCTAAACTCTGTCGTTCTGCCTGTTTTCTGATGCAGATTCTACAGCTGTGCATTGGAAACCATGACCTGTTCATGAGAAGACGCAGAGTGGACTCTCTGGAGGTCCAACAGATGAAGGCACAGGCTAGAGAGGAAAAGGCCCGCAAGCAGGTGAGAGAGTGATGGAAAAGGAGGAAGAGAGGGATAAATTGGTGGCTAGTATGACAATATGCAGTCATCATTATGAATAATTGCATCACAGTATGCTTTTTTGTCAAAGGGGGTTAGAATACTGACCAACTTCATTAAAAGAAAAGAGGTCTTTAGACCAATTATAGAGATCCTATTAACAAGCAGTGGTTCCACACTATCAAACTAAAACAGTGTGATAAGAACAGTATGACTGATTATCTTATTCTTTGTTGAAACAGTTATAAATAAAGAAGAAAAAGTCCTTTAACTCAGCCTTCTTTCTCATTGGGCCTCATTCACCAATATCTTATAAGCTTATAAGTATATACGTTTTTTTCTTAAATGTATTCTTGAGAAAGGTCCTAAGAAAAAGTCTACGTCAAATTCATGACGTGTTCTCAAACGGCAGAATTGTTGGTACCTTTGTGCTCTTGAGTGTGTGTAGATTCTGTTCTTATCTAAGAACAAATCCTAAATAAGAAAACACTGGTGAATGTCAGAATCTTCATGAATACTGCATAAGTGGGTTTTAGGACTAAAGTTCTCCTTAAGAACGGCTGGTAAATGAGGCCCATTGTTTTTATAAGTAGCACTGCTATTTTGTCTGGTGCATTGTGTCCATTCAGTAACTCAACAGCTAACGAGGGTAGAACAGTTTAGTCAAATTTGTTATTGAATTTTGTAAGTAGATACGCATCTGTGGTGGTTGACCATTACCACGCTACTGCAGATCTGGTATCTTGATGTTATGTTATTGCCATATCACCCATCCCTAGGGGAGTTTTTGCTTGGAGGTAGCTGTTTGAGTAACAGACGCACCACAAACGAGAAATTCTATGATGTCCCTTTCAGGATGTCACAAAAAAGAAACTTGGGTATTGAATGATGCTGAATGATGCTTTTTTTCCACAGTATTTTCAAGTGTATCACAGTATCAGATGATAAGTTATTGTTAATGTAGTTAATGAACCCATGTTTCCTGACATCTGGTACTCTTTGCTGAAAGAATGTCACCCTGCGTTCACACCGGCAGCGACTTTTCGCGTCTTTTCGAACAAATCGCTGATTGCTCATCACCTGTGGGTGTTTCTGAACTCCAAGCTGACCTTTGGTTGTCATGGTTTCACTGACGCCTAGCACAAATCAGGTGTTTTCCAGCTAAAATTAAAAAAATCCTGGTGAGAAATCGCTTGTGTGCCTTTTTTAATTTAATCTCTTGCGACTACTGTCTATTTCCAAAAGGATGTGTACTGTTTCACAGTGGTGGAGATAAAATGTGTACTATGTGGCTGAATGCTCAGTTCCTATTGGTAATCTCCATGTCGCTTGGCTTGTTGTTTGCATAAAGTTAAACTCCACTCAACTTTGTCACGTCCCCAACTCCTCCCTCTTTGCATCGCCAATGTTCGTGTTGCCTCCTCTCGCAGGAAATCGCCAGCTTCCATTGAAAATAAATGACCTCCGGCGACCTTGTCGCTTCACATCGCTGCTGGTGTGAACGCAGGGTTACAAACCTGATGTAGCTTGTTTTGATTGGACTGTTTTCTTAACATTACACTAACGTGAACCTAAGGATTATAAACAATAACCATAAAGTACAAAGTGAAGAAGTCATACTGTTCATGCTAAAAAGCTTGTCGCCCTGAGTCTGAACAGGCCAGCTCAGCTTTATTGAGTCAGACTAGCGTTATGAAGTTGAAGGTGAATCCCTATAGATCTGTCTCATCGTAAAATAAAGGGCCACCTTTGATATCGACTCCTCTCTCACATCCTCGGCTCAGCTGTCTGGGTTTGCATTTGTGACACACTCACTCATGCTGAAGAACAGTGTTCTCCAATAAAGAGATATAGATTTCCTTCTCTGTCTATCCTTCATCCTTTCTCTTGGTGCCCTTCACCTTCTCTCCTCTTTTTCACTCTGTCTTTCTCTCTCGCTGTAGATGGAGAGGCAGAGGTTGGAGAGGGAGAAGCATTTGCGGGAGGAGGCCGAGAGAGCGCGTGATGAGTTGGAGCGAAGACTCATTCAGTTGCAGGATGAAGCTCATATGGCCAATGAAGCACTGGTGAGGCAATAGACTGCAAATAGGCTCTTCTGATGAAATCTTCCCATAGAGTCTATCCCTCAAGAGAACCCCTGTCCCTACCCCAATATAACTGAGCTTAACTGCAGGAATGCGCGGTCCTGGTTTTTCGAACAGCACAGTGTTCTTAAGGTTAAATTATCACTCAGAGTCAATCTCGCTCTATAAATGGTCCCAGTGATTCACCGGATTAAATGGGAATTCCAATGATTTTTCACAATGTCTGTATAATTAAATCATTGAGATGTAAACAAAGTCAGTCAGAGTAGTTTGATGTGAAATGGTTCATTGTAGGGAAACTTACTGACTTGGATTCTTTACAGTGGTGATGATAGTTTACAACACAAGTATAGCCCCTTTATTTACTCTTTATTTACCAGTGAATCTTAACTATTTTATATGTAATATTGATGATGGTAAAATTGTGGTAAATCTGAGAATATACGTTTTTTTTGGAGGACTATTTCGACCTACAATGCCCTTAACGTATCTTATATTATATTAATGTTTTAAGCCCAAAGTTTTCACAAAATTCCATGTCAAAATCATAAAAATTGCAAAAATGTAGAGGATAGTTTTTGCAAAACCATATATGTGACAAATTATGGAAATTTAGAATCTGTCATAGTTGACATGATGCTAAGAATCTGCCAGAAAGAAGATGTATGTGTATTATTCACCCCACGCACAGTGAGGAGGATGGTTAGACTGGACAAAGAATCCCCAAGGATCACAGCTGGGGAGTTGCAGACATTAGTTAGGTCTTGGGGTCAGAAAGTCTCACAAACAACAATCAAATGCTGCCTAAATAATTACAAGTTGTTTAGGAGGGTTCCTAGAGTGCCTACAGTTTGCCAGACATTACTGGAACTTTCAGCAGGACTGTGTTCTGTGGTCAGATGAGACCACAATAGAGCTTTTTTGGCAACACCAGAGAAGGGTTTGGCGTAGACACAAAGATAGCCATGCAGAGAAGTAACTCATCCCCTCTGTAAAGTATGGTGGTGGATCTGTGATGATGTGGGGCTGTTTTACTTACAAAGGCCTTTGACAACTTGTTCGGACACATAGTGTCATGGACTCAATCAAATACAAGCAGTTATTAAATCAAAATCTGACTGCCTCGGTCAAGAAGCTTAAACTGGGACGCGGTTAGATCTTCCAGCAGGACAGAGATCCAAAGCATGCCTCAAAGTCAACACAAAAATGGTTCACTGATGGTTTAGTGGTTCAGTGGCCATCCCAGTCCCATATATAGATCTCAAAATGTGGAAAAGCTAACTAAAATCTAGCCTGCTGTGTCACTTTGTGCCATGGCACACAAAGATATTTACTTTCAGCTTATCTTTTGGTGCGTATGGTGAAAAAAAACAGTACTATATACAACACTGTTAATTATAGTCGAGTGTTTTAATATTGAAAACACACTAATTTCATTGTGGATCCACTTGCACTGAATCATGGACTACTGATGAGCCCCAGACCACAGTTTGAGAGCCTCTGTGTTGAAACTAAGTCCTGTGTATTGTCTATTTTTGTGTTTGTCCTCTGCATCATGCTGCAGCTTACTGTCCTGGAGTCTGACAGCTTGACTGGTAGCCAAACAGAACACTTACTGTGTGTGTGTGTGTTTTTGTTTGCTTGTTTGTTTGTTTTTCACTCTCTGTGTGTGTTGTCCCTCTCAGCTACGTTCTGAAGAGACGGCTGATCTTTTAGCAGAGAAGGCGCAGATAGCTGAGGAGGAGGCCAAACTGCTGGCTCAGAAAGCAGCCGAGGCAGAGCAGGAGATCCAGCGGATCAAGGTGAGTCACGGGGATACCCACCCTGCAGGATTTCCTTCTGACTGAGAAGGAGGATGAGTCATTTTGAGGTTTTGTAAGGGCAGTATTAGGTAATACCCAGCATAAAATGGTATCTTGACAAGTGAAACAATGTTAAATCTAAAAAACATATCTAATATTGTTATAATAATATTATAAGATTATTTAACTTACCTCCAGACATTACTTAGTTTAAGGAATGTTATCTAGTTAAGCTCTCTTATCCTGTTGGCAGATCATTTTGAAGCATTGCTTCTTGAAAAAAGCAAATATATCTATTTTCCAATGGAATAAGACAACTTCACTACATAACATTACTTAAAATTAGTAATAAAAGTCTAGCAATATTTATAACATCCTAACCTCAGTCTCTAAGGGAGAAATATTGTATATTGTGATTAGATTTAGGATGATTTTACTTTTTTTTTTGCAGTGTAGTTTTCCCCTTACCCTAAATGATTTGCTTATGTGGTTTCTGTTACTGAAACAAACCTGTTATCTGTAAAAATGTACAAAAGTACATGAAATAGCTAAAAACAACTGTTTCAACCACCCCAAACCTTGAGTTTTTGTATACCTTTGTAGAACAATGTTGTACAGTGTAAGAAACCACATAAATAAGTTTAATTGAAACTACTTAGCTAATGAGTGAGGATTTAGGCCTGCACAGTGCTAATTGGTGAGGTATAAGCTTCTATTACTTGTTGGCTGCATTAGTATCATTGCACCAAAGAACTAAACTTCAGTCACCAAACATGTTTTTGGTTGATCGAATACATGTGGGTTAAGGGAAAACTGTGCACATACGATTATTAATCCTCAATTGAATACATTTCTCACATTTTCAGTGTAACAACTGGAGTTATACTTATCTGTCCCACTGTAGCCTGTAGGTTCAAGAGTGAGTGTGGGTAGCTGGAAGCTTTAGGGGGTTCAGCAGGCTGTGTTTTTAACAGTGTGGGTTATTGTGGGCTGTTAAAGGTGACGGCTATCCGCAGTGAGGAGGAGAAGAGACTGATCGAGCAGAAGATGCTGGAGGCTGAAATGCTTGCACTCAAAATGGCTGAAGAATCAGAGAGGAGGTTTGTCTTGCTTTTATACAATGCGGGGACGTGAGGTCATACGTGTCATATATGTGCCCCATACACCATTCAGGCATAACATTATGACCACCTCCTTGTTTCTACGCTCATTGTCCATTTTATCAGCTCCACTTACTATATAGGTGCACTTTGTAGTTCTACAGTTACAGACTGTAGTCCATCTGTTTCTCTGTATACTTTGTTCCCCCTTCTAACCTGTTCTTCAGTGGTCAGGACCCCCGTGGACCCTCACAGAACAGGTACTATTTGAGTGGTGGATCATTCTCAGCACTGCAGTGACACTGATGTGGTGGTGGTGTGTTAGTGTGTGTTGTGCTGGTCTGAGTGGATCAAACACAGTAGTGGTGCTGGACTTTTTAAACACCTCAGTGTCACTGCTGGACTGAGAATAGTCCACCAACCAAAAATATCCAGCCAACAGCGTCCTGCGGGCAGCGTCCTGTGACCACTGATGAAGGACTAGAGGATGACCAACACAAACTGTGAAGCAGCAGATGAGCTATCGTCTCTGATTTACATCTACAAGGTGGACGGACAAGGTAGGAGTGTCTAATAGAGTGGACAGTGAGTGGACACAGTGTTTAAAAATTGTAGAACTACAAAGTGCACCTGTATAATAAGTGGAGCTGATAAAATGGACAATGAGCGTCAAAACAAGGAGGTGGTCATAATGTTATGCCTGATCGGTGTATATACACACATACTTGTACGTACTTATAGTACTTCACATAAATCAGAGACCACCTTTCATGTATTTAATATCCAGCCACAATGGCCATTAATTTATTAATTTAATGGCCTAAACACTCTGATCAAATACTGACAGTTAATAGGTTCAGGAAGAGCATACTCATAATAATTACTCAATTCTCGTAGAATGTATATGCAGCCTCAGAGCACTTTCATATGTCTTTACATCTGCGTAGCCCGATCTTTGTGAAATTAATTCTGCTTTTCTGTTACCAACAAATGACCCACAAAATTAAACATGGCACTTAACCACGTTTCTTGTTTTTCTTCCTCTCTCCTTCTGTCTTTTTCTACTCCCCATTTTTCATCCTCCATATTCTCTGGTGCGTTTTCTCTTGTGGTTGTTTCCTTCACTGCAAGGCGTACTCTGTTTCCTTCCTGCCGTAACATTACACTGTACATTTCAGCTGCTCATTAAGTGATCATAGGAGCATGCAACCGTGTGAAATTTCAGTCACATAGAGTGTAGAAAAGGAAAGTTACCAAAGTGCTTTATTTAATCATGTTGGTCATCAACTTGTGTGTAAAAAACATTTTCCACACATTTATGTACAGTTTAATCATGATTTCATCGTTTTGGCAATCCATTCAATATCATCCATTCAAAGCATGTAATCTGTTCCCAAGACTGTTCCCAAGCTTAGGAGCTGCCACTGAAAGAGTCTGATTACCCTTTAGCTTTTTACTTTAACAGGGAGGCCCTTAAGAGGTATTGATTAGAGGATTTCAGGGCTCTTGAAGCCGAAACTGGTCTGATATGTAAATGGGAGCCCGCTCATTAACTGCCTTAAAACCCACAAATCTTAGTTGAATGCAGAGATACTAAAACTGATGTAACAAGAACCTTGAATTTTGTCTGTGCTTTTGTCCATTTTTATAGATAACAGTGTGTCACACAGGGTCAGAAACCACTTAAGGAAGTCTAATTTGAGATTACTCAGTAATCTCACTATGCATAAGTGTTTTGAGTGATTTGAGCCTACACATTCCTACACATTTTTAGGGTTGTTCAAGTGTAATACTGTGTTTACATGTTACACTTGAAATAAAGTTATTATGTGCCTTATCGCAAAATTAGTGTAATCAGTGATAGTAGACATGTGGCATGCAGCCATGTAAATGTTGCCATGGTGATAGCATTTATACACAGTTTAGATTGGTTAAAATCATATTTAATGAATAGACAGTTCTTGTTTTCACTGGGAAATCATTCATCAAAAAAGTATAACATTTCTTGTGGAGTCCCACAGGGTTTAGTTTTGGGGCTTTTACTTTTTTCATTGTACATGTTATTTCTAGGTGATGTGATCAGGAAACATGATGTCAATTTTCGTTGTTACGCTGATGACATGCGATTACACATTTCCGTTCCTTCTGGAAATCAAAACTCCAACAAGCTTAAATTGGATGTTTTTAATTGAAATTAAGAAACAAACTGAAACACTGATGCTAAAATTTAGAGAAAAATGCTTTATGAGATGATCGGTTCTTTAGCTTCATATGGCAAATCTGAAGTACAACACCTGTCAGTCAGAAGTAGCATCAAACCCAGGTAAATCTCAAACGTGCTAGGGACGTTTTAAAATTCTGGCTTCTGCAGCCAAATAATCTGCTGTTTGTCAAGTATGGATGTGACTGAATCCCACAGGGCTTTTTGTTAGCTGTATTATGCACCGTTCAGATGCTGAAGCCAATGAAGCTAATAAGTCCTACGTAGTGTGCTAAGTAGGGAGCAGGGAGCCATTTAGAATTCGGAGCCGGGAGCCATTTAGGCCTCAGCATTGGAAGAGGGGCACAGTTAGATTGGTTCTGTATAAGCCTTGTGGTGGTAATTTATAAAGCAAAGTGCTTATAAAGCAACAGTTCTTGCAATAAATAGTGCTATGATGTGATATGTTCATTATTATACGACAAACAGTTAAAAAGTTCATGAAATTAGTGCAGTATACAGTGATGGGTGACTGAACGTTCTTCTAATCCGATTTGCATTGTGCCTAAAGCCTCCCTTCCCTGTGAAGGAATCGTAGTAATGCTCAGTGTTCAACTATTTGTCAGAGCAACGGCTCTTGTGGCTTAATGCTTAATTATATGTTTATGGAAAATATTCTTGCGCATTTTTAACTGTTGCATAGCAAAAATATGGCTGTATATGTATGTACAGTCATAAGGAATCTTATTTTTGTGTTAATATGTTCCTTATGGGGGAAAAAACGACATTGTTCACATTGTGGCTCAGTCAAGTGTCAGCTTAATGATGCATGTGACCGTGCTACTTTTGAAAAAGAACTGCGATTAATAAGCTAATCGTCTTTTCATATCATTGTCGCAACCTTTTGGATTAATTTGGCAATCGTGTGACAAAACTATGCCAAACACACTGTTTAGAGACTGATGGAGGAACGAGCAGTGACAAGTTTGAAGGATAGGTGTGTTGGATATTCTTTATGGCTTTGACAGTTGTGCTTGGACTTGGATACAATTACTGTACGTTATTTGTTTTGCACGACATGTTAGTGTGCTATTTGTTATTGTTTAGTTGTTTCAGTTTTGGTATTAAAAAAGTTCATATTCAATGAATTATTTTCTTCATTTTGTGAACAACCCTATCCTTTCTCCTAACCCCCGAACACATTTCAGGCACAGAAATTTTCCTTGCTTTAAGTCCTGTGAGCATTTTACGCAGTAGTGAGGTCAGACTCCACACTGGGATCGCTGGTAGACCTTTTGCTGGTTGGTTTACTTTACAATGCCTAAGGCTCAGTTCAGCTGGTTGCAGATCAGTTAGAGGAGGCTCCTCGTGCCCATGGCGAGTGACTCATGCTGATGTCTTTCCACAGGGCTAAAGAAGCGGATCAGCTGAAGCAGGATCTGCAGGAGGCCAGAGAATCAGAGCGCCGAGCCAAATACAAGCTGCTGGAGATCACTAGCAAGTCACCCTATTCGGTACACACCACTTCCTTAACGCAGCAGGGCCACTGGCAGCATGCCCTGCTACGAAACTGTCCGTGACGTGTGTTTGTGATGATGCCAATAACTGTCACTCCCATTTGACGCATCTTTTGAAGCCGCTTAGTCCTGCCCAGGGAAATGCTGCTGTTTTCGGTCCTGTGTGACTGGATTGTTTTTCATGCTAGCCTCATTCTCCCTGTCTCTCACGTATTTTTATTAGGACAAACACTACAGGCCAAAAGTACGGTTTCATAAGTTTCAGAAATGTTTAGGCAATAATACATGAGTGTGAGTTTTTTTTTTGTTGGCACTGGTTTGGGGATCTTCAGCCAAGGCAGAAGGCTGAGTAGATCAGCACTCCAGTGGCAACATCTCACAGGATAACACAACTTTGAATCTATTATTGCGTGATCATACCACATTACGTAATAACTGATGTTATTGATATTCATAGTAGGCTTTTGAGACAAATGTTGACACCAAAAAATAATTAAAAATGATTAACTTGAAAATGTATTTATTTATATGAGATGCTAAGAGTCTTTGTACATATTATATCTTATACTATTTATACTTTATACAATAAGAGTCTCTCAAACAGTGGCGATTCTTGGATTTCTTTTAGGTGGGGCCAAATTTCTTGTTCAAGAACCAAATAATTATCTTACAGTATCTCTAGGTATATTTGTTATAGACAGACAGAACACATTATTAGGCATCAACCACAATTATATTAACAAATTAACAATTAACAAATATAGTTTATTCCTTATATTTTTCAGTGTTTTACATTCATTAGCATACATGGTGAAACATCTGATTATCTAAAATGAAGCATTCTTATGCACTTTGATGATGAAGTACAGGAAAACAAGTAATTGCTGTAGAATAATTCAGGTCGCTAAGTTTAACAATTATGCCAACATCAAAAATTGTAAAAACTGTTGCTTACCATACCAATATCTAAAAGTCACTGTGTACAAAGTTTGACAGACATCTTCTAAAACCAGGTGTTTCTTTAGGACTTTGACATTTGAAAATGTCCAAGGAATGAAATGTTGTGAATGGACATGACTAAAATTGGTATTTTGACCCAAATTATGCTTCATAGATTACATTAACTCGTCACTTTTAGCAACAGTTTTGCACGTGAAAATGTCACTATGGCGCTAAACAGATGCTTACTATGTGTTCCTTAATGTGAATGTATATCCAGAAATGCTCTTGAGGCCTAAAAGTGCCTGTAGTTGCAGAAATGCCCTTTTTCTCCTGTTATTTTTGCAAAGTTAGTGTTGCTTTCAGACTTTTTCCTGTGCACATTCGAAGACTCAGTGTTCAAATTCGATTTCATCACCAGTCACGGTGAAATCTCAGACTGCTGACGTTTTCTTTTCTCCTTCGTTTCTGAGCCTTTGGTGAAATACCCAGTGATTTAGCCTTTAGCAAGTTAGTCCACTGATCCTACAGCCTTATCAGCATTGAGTCGACCAGATAAGAAGAGAGAAGGGCTGTTGCAGACCGAGCTGATAGCAGTCCCGCAGGTTCCGCTGTCGCCGGAATTGCAAATTACTGCTCTTTAGAATCGGATTACAGCTGGGATCAAAATGTCCACCCGTTCTGAGCGGAACCGCGAGCAAGAAAGTTGTCGCTGCATCACTCGGCTCCATTGAATATGAATATCAACCAAGGGTCAAATACACAGCGTGTTGGAGTGCACTTCGTTTGCTGCCCGCGTTTAATAAAACCCTGACTGAATACGCAGCTCTGATCTGATCTCCTGAGCCTGGGATTTGAATAATAGAGGCATGGAAATGAATGAGCGTTTCTTTTTTTTTTTCTCTTCCTTTATAAATGCTATTAAAGAGGAAATGTAAATGTGAGTACTGGGATACAGCACCTCTGAGCTATCACTCTTAAGCTTGTGGTTATTAGTCTGGGCATTCAGAAGCTCCCTATTGCTCCAGTCTATCTAAGTCATACAGGCATCTAATCGTCAGATTTGTGAAATCGAGGTGAGTGAGAGGTGACTGGCAGCGCAGTATTTAACACCTTAAAACTCGGTCTGTCTGTCAGTTACATAACTGGACATTGTATTAGCACTGTACAATATGATGATACCGCTGATAGTGATTTCAATGTGCTGTGCAGTAGTTAACAGTCTTGAAAAATGTGTTGGTTTCATTGAATATGAATATCAACTCTGTACACTCAATATTCTTTTTATACCTTAAAACTAAGGATGAGCAAAATGGTGATATTAGGTACAATACATTGTTCTGAGTATATTAATATCTCAAAAGTAAAGCATGACCTCAAGTGTACAATTATTCCACAGTTTCACTATTGGTGTTTATTATTGAGCAGGGCTAAGTGAATATGTGTAAATGTGTTGTTTTTTGTGACACCACAAAAACGAAATTCAGACTGGGCTGTTTTACACCTTGGTTTCAATATATGGACTAAAGAGTGAACTATAGTCTTTAAATAATGTTTACATACTACATCAGAGGGGCAGCACGGTGGTGCAGTGGGTAGCGTTGTCGCCTCACAGCAAGAATGGCCTGGGTTCGATTCCTGGCCCGGCGGCCAGGGTCGTTTCTGTGTGGAGTCTGCCTGTTCTCCCCGTGTCTGCGTGGGTTTCCTCCGGGTACTCCGGTTTCCTCCCACAGTCCAAAAACATGCAGTTAAGCTAATTGGACATGCTAAAATTGCCCCTAGGTGTGAGTGAGTGTGTGAATGTGTATGTCTGTCTGTCTGCCCTGCGATGGACTGGCGACCTGTCCAGGGTGTATCCTGCCTTCCGCCCAATGACAGCTGGGATAGGCTCCAGCACCCCACCACGACCCAGAAGGATAAGCGGTTTAGATGATGTATATATGTACTACATCAGACTCTTATTTCAAGAAAGTAAGAAACTTTCTTTTCCTCATATCGGCCCTTTAACATTTTGCTTGCTTACATTACTGTGTATATTTATGGATGTTTTAAAACTTCTATCACAAAATGAATCCAGTAGAAAGGAGCACATACACATTTTTAAAATGGATCACTTGCAAAGTGCACATAAAGTCTACTGAAACCCAGCTGATCTCTCTGTCTCTCTCTCTCTCTGTCTCTCTCAGGCTGCTCCACTCTCTCCCAGTGCTCTTCCTCCTGACCTCAGCTTCAGCACAGAGAACCTGAGCTTTGACTTCAAAGACACGGACATGAAACGCCTGTCCATGGAGATCGAGAAGGAGAAGTGAGTAGAGACGAGTATGTGTGAATAAAGCCCACTCTGCTCTTCAGGTAGACCCTTGTGTCTGCCCACGCTGCTCTTCATCACACTAAAAGCTTAGGAGACCTACTGAGATCCACCAGACTTTAGAGCGGTTTGGTTTCGTCACGTAGACTTGCCTTGTTTCCTTGAAGGTGCTTTTGGTGTGGTGTTTTTAATATGGGTTTAACTGTTTCATTTCAGATCCGTTTGTAGTAGAGTACAGAGCCTAAAGTGCACAAACCTCACATTCTTAGCCTTTATTTGAAGGCTACCTATATAGTGACATTATAACACACACATAGGCATTGTATTTATGCACGTACAACGCATTTATAAAAGCAGTACTTGAATATTTATGAAGCTTTTCCTTATGAAAAGCTTATGCCTTTTATTGCAAGGTAACATAAGACATTTTATGAAGTATATGACATGTATTGGCATTGAACTAAAGCGAAAGACAGAAGTTCCACTTATAACACTGTTACAGAGCATCATTCCCAGGCAGTAGAACTGTATAGGCAGAGTTTATAGTTAAGAAGCAGTGTATTACTTCAGTGGAAGTTTTTGATGCCCTTAAGTGATAATTAAGTGATCATTTTCATACATGTTGTCTTTATATGTATGTACAACCCAGCACTTGAGTAGAAGTAAGAAATACCCAAAGTATATAGTATAAATAACATACGAAGTAAAATATTTAACAAAAGCTGAATTCCTCTCTCTATTTTTCTACAGGAGTACAAAAGTGTTTGCTTTTAAGTGTACTTAAGTGTATCTAAGGTAAATGCACTGAAAGCTATTGTAGTTATTATATTACTTGGATGAGCATTTTCTATTCAGAACACCTGTATGGCTGTTCCTCTTATTGGGATTTATGCTTCATAACAGTGTTGTAGAAGGAGTGTGTTCTTCACTTTGGTTTATAATGTATGTCAATAAATAATGCAATTTATTTTATAAAATGATGCAGTGAAATGACTGTTGCTGTCATAACATTGACTTTATATTTCTGGTAACTTAACAGGATGAAAAAGGTTCTAAACTCAAAACTAAAGTTAAGCTAGCAAGATGTTATTCATCATGAATGTTCACATGATATAAAACACTGTTATAAAATTATGTAACAAAAATTCTTTATTTTTTTTACTACATTATAAGGTTAAAGGGGAATTCCATTGATTTTTCAAAATTTCTGCATAGTTCGGTTGTTGAGATCAATGGTAAACAAAGTCATTTAGAGTGGTTTGACGTGAAATGCTTGTATGAAACGTACAGACCCTCTTACAGGGGTCACAGTATGTACAACACAAATATAGATATTTTATTTACTGCCTAAAATCACCAGTGAACCTACACGTGTCTTCTGAGTTTTATATGTAATGTTGATGACGGTAAAATAGTCCTAAATCTGAACAAAGTAAGTTTTCTTTGGGGACTACTTTGTCGTTCAACGCCCTGCATGTTCCATCATGAATGTGTTTAAAAAATACAGTTTTTAGACCAAAACTTTGTCTATACTATCATAAAACAATGTCTCAGGCATCAGGCAGCATATTCATATTTGTTTTTCATGCAATGAGTTTCTATGAGGGAGCTTTTAGAGGCATTAAACTTTAAAGACATCTGGTTCCTTTGATAGTGATCTAGAATGATGCTCTAGAATGGACTATTTCATCACACCACTCAAAATGAATTTATTTACATCTTAACCATTTAATTGTACAGAAAGTTTGGAAAATTGGTTGAATTCCTCTGTAAAAAGGCTCACGTGAAAGAATTACAAGGTTTTTGCAATTTTTGTGTTTTTAATAATCTGCCTATCTTCTGTAAGAATTGTTATTTTCTCTGAGTATAATGAACAGAATGCTGTCTACTGTATAAATATTGTTTTTTTCTTTATAGTATTTTCTTGCATTCTGTGATTGTGTCTGTTTTGATCAGGGTTGAATACATGGAGAAGAGCAAGCACCTACAGGAACAGCTGAACGAGCTGAAGACGGAAATTGAGTCTCTGAAGCTGAAGGAGCGGGAGACTCCCCTGGACATCCTGCATAACGAGAACACAGAGCGGGGCACCAGCAAGCAGAGCAACTTCAAAAAGGTGAGTTTTCCTTTAGAGTTTGGGTTCAGAGCACTCAGCATAGCCTGGTTTTCACATGTGGATTTTGCTCACATCGACACATCCAGAGAGAAAAGTGCTTCTGATGTAGCAGGCGGAGTGACAAATTCACTTTTTAGTCCATCTGCGTCGGTGTCTGGTGGATGTTCTTAACTTGGAAATGTCCATAATTGAAGAGTTAAACTTCCTTCGGTATGTATGTTCTCTGAGCTTGCCCGAGCACATAACTGAAGTGTTTCAAACTATTCATTTTTCATATAAAATTCTGTCTTTTGGTGTCATGGGAGTACTGACACATCCTCTACAGGGAACAAACTTAAGTACAGAATTTTTGTCATCAATGTACTTCCAGGGCTTCCAGTCAGTTCGGCTTTGGGTCTTGTCATTTAGCAGCAAACTTTTCCATTATAGGGACAAATCTTAGGTATAAATGGAGAGGGATAAGAATTAATTTATTTTTAATGTTTTCAGATCCTGAGCTTTAATGCCTGCATACACTTATTCCAGTTGTCAATTTAGCAGTAAGAGTAAAACTTAAAATCCTGGTGGTACAAAAAATTGAGGACCAAAAAGAAAAATAATGGATACAGCAATATCACAGTAATGTATTTAACTGCTAAGCTTACATGTTGTTGCTTCTAACCCTAAATGGATCAAGATGAGTGTGATCATGCTTCAGTTTTGTCTGCCTCAGTCAATTCCTGTCACCTGTGATGCCATACATTTCATGTAAAAACAGATTAAGTTAGTTTCACCATGGAGGACATCAAAAAAGTAGGTGGTTAAACTTTTATGCTTGTCAATAAAAAATGCTTCGAATATTATCTTAAGGGTTTTTCTACCTAAAACATATCAACTATAGGCTTTAGAAACATCATGAATGCAATGAATGTTTTTCAACTACTTACTTCTCTTGCTCCCATAAAATACGGTGCTGTGATGGCAGCCATTTTGAAAAGGCAGAACTCCTGTTGCGAATGACACATGCCAAATGTTATCATTGAAAAGGCCAGAATGTCCTCCGCATGGTGCACCAGGGTTTAGCACTGTAGCCTATATGGTTTTTGAACTATCCTTCAGGGGCTGATGTCACCCACAGAGGACAAAAATGAATTACCAGGTCTTAAGTCCCCAAGTCAGTAATCAGTAGTTCACCTTACATTCGCACATTTGTACATTTATTTTATTTAATTAAACCCACAGCTACTGGTGGATGAAGCAAATCTACCTGCCAAATGTAAATATATGCCCACATTCAGCAGTGGTGGGCGTTAATTTGTCAGCCTGATAGCAAGCCAAAGTCTTTATATACTAGTGACAACAGATAGGATGAAAAATAAAAAAATCAGGCTTATATCCATGCTGTATTCAAAGAAGAAGGATCAAGATAGCGGTAAGGTTGAACCTCCTACCTTGGGTACAGCATGGATGTAAGCCTGAATGTTTTATTTTTCACCTCATCTCACCTCAAAATACAGAAGGCACTGAATTAACTCCAAGCATTAAGTCAAGGATATTTACATGTATATTGAGTAAACCATCTATATTGGCAGATGCAGAGTATAGAGCCCTGAATTGTCACTGTTCGATTATAGATTAGTACACAGGCAGTGCTCATTTACTGGTGTTACACTCAATGTGCTGCTAAATTTCAGTTCTCGTGGTACTGAAAAGTAACAAGCATGTCCATGATAACATTATGTTCTGTAAAATAGCAGCATCTTTGTTACCTATTCTGGCAGGGCCAGTGAGATCTCATAACGAGAACATCTGGAGACAACCATGAGATATTTTGGACTGAATGTGGCGGTAGACTTACTGTTGGAACAAAACCTGGTATCTCCATTTTTGTCATTTTTCAGCTTTTGACATAATTGGAAAGTACTCGGGGTCCTATACCTTGTGTGTAAATTTCATGATGAATGGACCAAAAGAAATGACTTGGAAAAAGTCTGGTTCCATTTACTTACATTAAACGTAGAGTATGTTTTTTCCTTCTCCTGTAAAGTTCTCTATTTTGGAGATATGAGGTTTTGATCCCACAACAGCTATATTTATATATATATATATATATATATATATATAAAACCACTAATACCAACGTTTCATGTAGGTTTACTGGACATTTTGGGTACTACATAAAATGGTTGTATTTGCACTGTAGACTCCTTACTTCTTGTTCCTTTTACTGGCATTGTTAAAACATAGTGGAGCCAGTAAGTTTTTGTACACTGAACCGCTTCATATCAAGCCACTGTGAATGATTTTTTTACCTCTTTAAATTATTAAGAAAAAAATCAGTGGAAACCCCTTTAAGAGAAGAGAATAGAGCAAAACAATCCAATCAAAACAAGCATGAGGTCATTAGCCTTATTAACACAAACTTAAATATCATCTGACAGCATGTTATGTTTAGGAAAAATATCACAATGTTTTATCAGTAATTCATAGCACTGCCGCGTTCTGAAAATATTATCAAAGACTGATGAGGAGGTGCTTACAGGTGGCCTGCTTTGTCAGTATTTTCTGCGTGGTTGATTATTCTGAGAATTCATGTCCACAGTCAGGGTTTTTCTTTACTAATTTTCATTCAGAGTCATTTTTATGGTTACAAATGTTGCATAACCTTCATACTTCAGATGCGCTGTATTACCCAGAGAAAAGCAGAGAAGCATGACTAAAGTAATTTATTTTTACTGAACAGGAGTTGCTTGACTTGCTTGATGAGAAAAATTGGAGATCCACACCATAGATAGAAGCAAAGTTTTTGGAGGTTTCAGCAAATTAGGCTTAAACCCAGATGTGTGGGTGCATATTTTGTCACATTATAATTCTCTGCCCGAGCTCCGATACGCAGGTCCAATTAAATGTAACAAACCGCACCTGGGTTCCAAAACTCAGGAGCTGCTTTCACTTTTCACTTAATTTGTAAGATTTTTCAAGTATCAAGGGCGGTCATGGATGTCACTGCGCACAGATTAAACGCAGAGTTTTCAGACATTTATAAATTAGCCATCAGTTACGTACCTCGGTGATGACCACGTAGTGTCAAAGGAGGAAAAAAACCTTCTTCAGTCTACATTATTTACATTGTTTTGCTAGTTTGTTTAGTATGCACCTTGTACCTACATTCTTTGGCCATTTTATCAGAAACTCCTGGCCCCAAAAAGTATTTGAACATTTGTGCCATACATAAACGTTTATGTTCATTGTGTTAGGAGACAAAATGTCCAACCGAGTTGCATTTAATTTAAACAGACCATTTCAGGACTGTGATTTTCTTTTTGGCAAAGTAGTCTTAGTGCAGTCTGGTTGGAATTCTCCAAAGAGTCTACCATCAGTGTGATGCTGTGCTAAAAGCCTTTTTCACTGAAACAAATATCATTAAGCATTTTAACATTTTGCATGTAACTAGTTCAGTTCCATGGAAATCACCAGGAGGACTTATGTGTGGAAATGCGATGTCTTGATTAAAGCCAGCATGTTTCTGAGACACTCATTTTTATACAGTTTCCATGAGTGACCCTGTCATTAGTGTGTACACGTTTCTAGTGGCATAGAGAAGTAAAAACTGCCCTTAATGCGTAGCTGCACAAAGGCAATACAGCACGGCTGCAACCCAGAACATGGACAGCTGAGTTTTTTACATTTTTGTGAGGGACAGAAAAACATTGCGGGGTGAGTTTTTATACAAAATTGAGAAATTAAAGAGCTGTTGACTTATCTATGCTGAGGACATCACATTATGTTTAACAGGCATGTGAGAATGTGTGCAGGGCGGTAAAATGCCTATTAAGAGCTGTTTGAATGATCCAAACATTTACGCGTAAAGGTCTGCAATTTGTAAGCTACTTTGTATCTTGTTCTTCAGCGGAAAGGGGCTGCTGTAGGACCACCGCTGACAAGGTGTCATTTGGGTAATCAACTGTTCTCAACCCAGCAGTGACACTGACCTAATAGTGGCATAGTAGTGTGTATGCCACTGGTACAAGTCTGTCAGACACAATGATGAGGAGTTTTTACACACTCACTGTACACTTGTACACTTCGCTCTATTAGAAACCCCTTTTTGTAGCTCCACCTTGCTGGTGTACAGTTAGAGACTAGCTCATCTCTTAGCCTTCTTCAAAGGTTGGTTTTTGACAAAAGGATGACTGTTCGCTGCATACTTTTGGTTTATGCACTGTTATCAACCCAGCAGTCAAACTAAAGACTTTATAAACGCTATCTGAGAAATGATAAACAACCCCAAATTTTTCTAAAAATCTTGTGACATTGCAAGATAAAAACAGGATGCAACAGTATGCAAATCATTTAAGTTGAAACTGAGAAATGTTATTGTTTTTTGAAAAATATATGCCTATTTTGAATTTGATGCCAGCAACATGTTTAGTCATGCTTTCAAACAGAGTCATGCTGTTGTAATACATGCAGAATGTGGTTTGGCATTGTCTTGTTAAAATAAGCTAGGCCTTTACTGGAAAAAGACGTCATCTGTAGATGGTTCTGTATAGAACCTTTTCAAAAAGGTTCTATATAGAACCGTCTGTAGCACATTAATGCACATTTTTGTGATGCGTTTCGTAACGCTTTCATGATGCAACGAATCCTTTAACCATGCAAATGGTTCTTTGAGTGCTCATAGTTCTATATAGCACCATTTTCTTTGCTAAAGAACCCTTGAGGAATCTTTTTTAAGAGTGTAGCATGTGTTGCTCCAAAACCTAAATATATTGTTCAGCATTAATGGTGCCTTCACAGATGTGCACGTCACCCATGCCATGTGCACTAATGCACCCCTATACCATCACGGATGCTGGCTGTTGAACTGTGTGCTGATAACAAGCCAGATGGTCCCTCTCCTCTTTAGCCCGGAGGACGCGGATCCATGATTTCCAAAAAGAATCTTGATTCATTGGACCACAGGACACTACTCCACTCAACTTCAGTCCATCTTAAATGAACTCAGGCCCAGAGAAGGC